TTTAAGATGCCTGAAATGCACATCAAGGCACCTAAAATCTCCATGCCAGATGTTGATTTGAATTTGAAAGGCCCTAAAGTGAAGGGAGATGTGGATATGTCTGTTCCAAATATTGAGGGTGATTTGAAAGGTCCTGAGTTTGATATAAAAGGCCCCAAAGTTGACCTTGATGCACCAGACGTGGATCTTCATGGCCCAGAAGGTAAATTTAAAATGCCTAAATTCAAAATGCCCAAATTCAGCATGCCTGGGTTCAAAGGAGAGGGACCAGAGGTGGATGTGAAGCTTCCAAAAGGGGAGCTGGATATTTCTGGTCCCAAGATAGACATTGATGCTCCGGAGTTGGATATTGAAGGTCCTGAAGGAAGGCTGAAAGGACCCAAATTTAAAATGCCTGAAATGCAAATCAAAGCACCAAAAATCTCCATGCCGGACATTGACTTAAACTTAAAAGGTCCCAAAATGAAAGGAGATGTTGATGTTTCTCTTCCAAAACTAGAAGGTGACTTGAAGGGTCCTGAATTTCATCTCCAAGGCCCCAAAGTTGACACTGATGCACCAGATGTGGATATTCATGGCCTAGAGGGTAAACTCAAAATGCCTAAATTCAAAATGCCCAAGTTTGGAATGCCTGGGTTCAAAGGGGAGGGACCAGATGTGGATGTAAGCCTTCCGAAAGGGGAGATTGATCTCTCAGGTCCAAAAGTAGACATTGATGCTCCTGATTTGGAAATTGAAGGTCCAGATGGGAAATGGAAAGGTCCTAAATTTAAGATGCCTGAAATGCACATCAAAGCACCTAAAATTTCCATGCCAGATGTTGATTTACACTTGAAAAGCCCTAAAGTGAAGGGAGATGTGGATGTGCCAGTTCCAAAGATTGAGGGTGATTTGAAGGGGCCTGAGTTTGATATCAAAGGCCCCAAAGTTGATATTGATGCACCAGACATGGATCTTCATGGCCCAGAAGGTAAACTCAAAATGCCTAAATTCAAAATGCCCAAATTTGGCATGCCTGGGTTCAAAGGGGAGGGCCCTGATGTGGATATAAAACTTCCTAAGGGAGAGGTGGATATTTCTGGGCCCAAGGTAGACATAGATGCCCCAGATTTGAACATTGAAGGTCCAGAGGGAAAGCTGAAAGGTCCCAAATTTAAGATGCCTGAAATGCACGTCAAGGCACCTAAAATCTCCATGCCAGATTTTGATTTGAACCTGAAAGGACCTAAAATGAGGGGGGATGTGGATGTTTCTGTACCAAAGCTAGAAGGGGATTTGAAAGGGCCTGAGATTGATATCAAAGGTCCCAAAGTGGACATTGATGCTCCAGATCTTGATATTGAAGGTCCTGAAGGAAAATGGAAAGGCCCCAAATTTAAGATGCCTGACATGCATTTTAAAGCACCTAAAATCTCCATGCCAGACATTGATTTGAATCTGAGAGGCCCTAAAGTGAAGGGAGATGTGGATGTTGCTGTTCCAGAGATTGAGGGTGATTTGAA